TGTTGATGGTGCTGATGGTGCTGTTGTTCCTCTTGATGGATCTGTTCCTGTTGTTTCTACTGTACCTACTGTTGCTGCTGCTGCTTCTCCTGCTGCTGCTGCTGCTGCTGCTGCTGCTGCTGCTGACCCAGACGGGCTGGGTGCAGCGGGGGAGTTCAGAGCCATTGTATGGTGCCCCCAGAACGACCCCTTTTTGTTTCTTCTTCTGCTAGCAAACCACGCAGAAGGTCAGGGGCTTCGATTGAGACAGCTAAGAAAAAGTGAGCTCCTGTAGATACAGTGGGGAGATGTTATACAAATAAAAAGAAAGAAATGCTGTAGATACACTGCAAATACACCACAGAATACTGAATAAGATAAAGAAGAAATGTTTAAACATAAAGTTTTAATGATAACGAATAACCCCCAATGCGGCCACACAGAGGAGGAGAGTTGCTGCGAGAGAGAAAGAAAGAGAGAGAGAGCAACTGCTGCTGCAGGGGTTGTCAATGAAGCAAGAGGTATAACACTAAAGAACAAATTTCATAAAATAAAACACAAAAATAACAAAAAGAAACAAAAGAAAATAAACTCGAGAAGAAGTATCGCAGACAACACCTTCTTGGGGCCTCGTCTGGCTCTCTCCTTCGGCTGCGTCGGGTTTCATCTGCTGCTGCAGCAGCAGCCGCAGCAGCAGCAGGAGCAGCAGCAGCAGAAAAAGAATAAATATAAAACAATTTTTATATTCAATGCAACAAAAAGAAGAAAAAAAAGAAAAATTTGTTTCATATATTTCGCCGCTGCTGCAGAGTAACAGGCGCCACCGACATCCCATATAGTCTAGGTGGTTAGGATACTCGGCTTTCACCCGAGCGACCCGGGTTCGAGTCCCGGTGTGGGAACGTTTTATAGAAGAAAATATTTTTTTATTCTTTTTGTATTTATTCATTTTTCTTCAATATTTGTTTACTTTCTTGCTTGTAACTTTACTTATTTGATGCTTTGCATGTATACTTTTTCGCTTTTTTTATTTTACTTAATATTCGGCTCCAGTACAAGACTCAGTATAAACTCAGATGGCTTTCTATGGATCATGTATCAACACAGAGGGGATCAGCTTTTTTTGTGAATTTGTTTATATGGTATTGCTTACAGCGGCAGGAACAGCAATATAGATGTTTTTGTATGAATTGAAACAGAGTATATTTACAGCTGCGTGCTACTCTAAGTGAGCTATGATAATAACGAGTGAATATAAACTTATCTTTTTTTATCACAAATTCAAAAAAAAAGAAAATAAAATATTTTTTCAGAAACTTAGCTTTGAGTTGATCGACCACCACCATCCCATATAGTCTAGGTGGTTAGGATACTCGGCTTTCACCCGAGCGACCCGGGTTCGAGTCCCGGTGTGGGAACGTTTTGTCCTTTTGATCTTTTTTTTTGTCTTTTTATGTATTAAAAGAAAATAAATATCGAGTTTAATTTAGTTCTTAGTATCTTGTATCCGTATAAAAAGGAGTATAGTATACACACCTCTCCTGCATTTCTTCTTCTCGCTTATTTCATTGTCTATAAACACTAAAAATAAATGTTCCGGCTCGGCTAAACATTGAATAAACTTTTTTAAAATTTCAGCTGGTGTGAGCATTCCTCGATTTTATTTCGGTTTCAGTAGAAGAGGATACACACGACCCAGAATATTTTTTCAATTGTGCTGTATGCACAAACAGATTATATAGACTTTCTCTACTCTAAATTACTGGGGTTTACTTGTTCATATATTATTTTATTCTAAATAACAATTTAAAAGAGAATTTAGAGCACAACAGCATCCCATATAGTCTAGGTGGTTAGGATACTCGGCTTTCACCCGAGCGACCCGGGTTCGAGTCCCGGTGTGGGAACGTTTTATTTATCGTTTGTTTCTTCTAAGCTTAATTACTACAATATTGTTAATAATGTTGCTGAAGATAATAAAAATATCACAACGTAATTTTGCTGCGTATACCTCCTACTCAGATTCCTTTGTGAGTTGTTCGTTTATATTTTCATCAGAGGGGGAAAAGGCGGTAATCATTGAGCCTCTGCTGCTGCAGCATAAACGCTGCGTCTGTCCAGCAGCCGGCTGTTTGGAAAGCTGCAAAGAGTTCATCTTCTTTCTGAGGTAAACACTTTCTGCTTACTCATGGGCAGCGCTCGATGCAAGCAGCGGAGTGGGAAAATGAGGAAATTCCAGCTGAGAAGGGAATTATAGAGCGCGAAATAAATACCTTCATGATCTGAGTTTATACAGAAATATAATCTGGTTTCTTCTGTTGCTTTCTTCACCGGAAACTGTATGAAACGCACATCACCAAATTCAGTTGAAATACTGTGAGATATCCTCGACTGAACGAAACCCAAGTGAAAACATCTGCGACAAACTTCAACATAAATCTCTCTTTCCTTTTCAAACGTTTAGATGCGCCGCAGGTCATTCAACCAATCTATATTCAGAATAGCTGCACACAGAAACAGA